ATAAGGTACATGTGCACCATCGAGCTTGAACACCCTTCCAATGAACACACACACACACCACACCACACCACACCACACGCAACCGAAAACAAAAAACAACAAAGGCTGATGATTCGAGACCACACAACCGTAGACCCACCCCCCTTCCCCATTCCCAAAAAAGCAGAATTTGCCCGACCCCAACAGTTTTCGCCATGTTCCCACAAAGTCACACTGCAGAGTTTATGGAACCTCAAAGGCCTTCATTCGTGGAATCTCCTTTTGTGGGCCTTTGCGGGTTCCATGTTAACCTGCAGTGCTTTGTAATGTTGACCGCGGATCTAAGTAGAACCTGTCCTAGTGTTCCCTCAAGTGGTCCGACGAACAACACTATTGATCCGAGTCAACTAATTAATAAGCCCGTCCCATCTATTTTTGAGGTCTTCCCTCCAAAACGTGGTCTGAATCCCCCCCAACTGACTGACTGCCCAACCCTCTGAAACCAACTTTGATCCTGGGGTGGACCGAGATCTGGATCCAAAGCGGTGGGTCGAGGGTCGCGGTCCTGGGAGCCACCGAGAGTGTAGCCCTGCTCCTTCAGCCCCTCTGTCCAGGAAGGAGCCTCGGTCAGAACCCCAGGAGAAAACACACGAACCCCAATACAACCAGATGGGGCCTCAAAAAATGTTTTTGTTTTTTTTGTTTTTTTTTTGCATTCTTTGCTCTGTCTGGGGAGTCTCCCAGAGAAACAACATACATGTGGGAATGAGATGACATATGAAAAAGACAAACAAGATAATGAAAGAAGAGAATGGAGGCATGTCATTACAACTCCAAAAGAGAAGAATTAGAAGAAGAAGACCAATAGATAGATGAAAGAAATGTAACAAATTAATTAAAAAAAATAAAAGACAAGAATAAAGTGAATCATTAATTGATAATGCGAGAATGCGAAATTCTTTAATCTGCAAACTAATAAAAAGAGAAGACAAAAGGAATGACCATAAAGTGAAGAAAATAATATATTCTGATGAAATTTCGTTATTAATAAAAGCATTTCCTGGAGATGTAGCAGCATTAGGTAAAAGAAGTGTATTAGCAAAAATTAATTCACAAGGATCTGGAAGATAGAAAGCTTCTCCTGGCCACATCCCTAAAGTTGGAGAAGATAATAAATGAAAAGATGTCCAAAAGAAGGATACAAATAATAGAGCTTCAGAAACTAGAAAACTTCCAAAAAGAAGAAACATATTATTAATAAGACTTCATATTTTTTAGTTAATTCTCTTAATAAATCTCTAGACCAAATATGAAAACTATAAATAAATAATAAATTAAGATGAAATAATATAAGAAAATAATTCTATGAGAAGTGAATTCCAGTCCAACAATAAATATTAAATCCTGCAAAGATAAATAGAATTATAATATTTGCAAAGATTAATAAGATAGAAATATTAATAAGAAAACATGTCATGTCCTTCCGGAAGTTACTAGAGATGGAATGACTGTTCCGGAAGTTAAAGATGGAATGGAGATATAGTGAATGAAATGAACGGGAGAACCTACAAAGAAGAAATCATTTTGGACAATAAAGAAAGCTATCCAATATCCATTTCTAGTTGAGGGACTTGTCCTTTCCATATCCTTTCATTCCTGCCTCCGGACCAGCCATGTAATCCCAGCTGATGTAGGATCCAGACTGCGAGGCAAGGAGACGGGATAGATGTCTTTATGGAAAGGCTAAGGAACGGATAGGACGTAGAGAGATATGGACCCATCACCTGTCAGCTATTAACTCATGAACCCGTCTGGAGGCAACATCCTAGAGTCATTCCTTTCCTACCATCTCACTCTCCAAGAATCCACGAGATAACGGTTCAGGAACTGCCAAGCAATGCAATGAACGAAGTGAAAGGACATGGCCATGTGGGACTGTGTTTCTGTGAGTTTTTGGCCGGCGTTTTGCCCAAACTCCCCAGCTCACTTTCTGGCTTTGGACGTTTTGTGAGTTCCCCCATGTCCCTCACACTCGCACCATACTCGTAGTTTCGAGTTTCGACGCCTGGTCTGAAGGCAATTGGCCCGAGTCACACCAGGCCATGCGGCCATGGGATGGGATGGCGTCGAGATGGAACTCAACTCCTATCATTCGGAGTGCCATTTGGGGCGCCTAGGGTAAAGGGCATTGTTTGCATATGTTTCCTTTTGGTAAAACAAATGGCACTGATGAATAATTAGAACCAACCTACTGCAACCAGTGCCATCTACCAAAACCAAACCGGACCCCTATGATTGTTAGCCAACGCAAAGAAACCCGAGGGTTCCACATGGACTTCTCCCAAAAGAAAAAGCAGAACCATCCCCCACGTCTTGGCCAAAGCTCTGGCTTAGAGAGCCCCCAAAGGAGCGCATGTGGGCATTTTTGTCCCTCCTGTCTCCTTCCCCCCCCCCCCCCGCCCCCTTTGGGAGGTCTTCCAAAAATTGACGGGCCGCTGCAATCAAAGCCAGCCCGCCCGCCGGAACTTGGGGCGCCGGCGCGGATCATCCGCGTCTCGTTGAAGTGGTCCGAGACGTTCTCCCGCACGAACCAGAAGCTAAAGCTTTGATCCTGAGGCGCCTGGCCGAATTCCAAACGGTGGGGAGGGGTGGGGTGGGGAGGGATTGGGGTGGGGAGGGGAGGGATTGGGGTGGGGAGGGGTGGGGCGGGGGAGGGGTCGGTGTTCGGGGTCCCTGAAAATGGCAAGGGCGTTCTTTTGGCTTCGCTTCAAATGAGAAGGGGAGTTCATTTTGAGAAACACTCACAGGTGCTTGAAAATTAACTTGTTTGGGATGTCCCTTCAGGGGTCAGGCTGCAGAAGTTCCTTCCTGCTTGTTTAGCGAATCTAGTGAAATGACCCCAACCACTTCGTTTCTCCAGCTAGTTGGTGCAGGCATTCCCATTTCTCCACGAGTCCGAAAAGGACTGTTTCTGGAAGCTGTACCTCTCCGCGATACCAAAATGGCCCATCCCGTGATGTCTGACTTGCGGAAACAATTCCAATGGCAAGGGGTGCAACAAACATCTTCCCATGCCATGATCTGGCCGAGTGCAACCACGGCCACTAGGAGAGGATTGTTCGAGGGGTGGACCAAACATCACAGTGGCAGCTCACTTCCCCACACAACTTAGAACAAGTTCCGTTTGACAAATAGATGAAACCTGGGGCTACAAGGTCGCAAGCTCGTTTATCCACATGGCTCGTCTATTCTTGAGAGGTATTGTCCTGGTTTTTGAGGCAACCCCGAAAAAAAGGCGTTCCAAATCTAAAAAAGCCCACCACAAACCACCCACGTCGCGTGGGTCTGCCATGGGTCTGCCGACTCACAGTTCACACTCGAGATCCGTCCTTCGAGATGTCCGCGGAGCCCGAAACTCGGAAGCCGAATTTCACCTGGCAGCTTCGCCGAAGAAAAAGAAAACAACGCGAGGTGTTGGGTCGCTAGATGAGCAGAATCAAAACCCGGGATTAGAACGATCTACCCAGAACCATGTAAAGGATCAAGAAGCCAAATATCCGCAACCATTTGTGGTTGAAATTGCCCCTTGCTAAGCTTCATCTACCCGGGTCTTGAGGACGTGGCTACATGGCGGTCACGGTGACACTTTGCGAAGCGAAGAACGAGGCGTGTTGCGCGAGCTCTGCGTCCTTGGGGGGTTCATGTCCGCGGGCCTCCATGTTTGGATTTGTTGGAGGCGTGGGATGGTTGTCCTTTACCGTCGGGGCTCAAATCCTCAAACCAATCCGAACCGACCAGGGGATATCAGCTCTCCGCATCTTTCCAGGTTCGAAGGAGTGCCGGCAACCTGCCTCTGAACACTGCTTGCACGTGCCAAACCAGTCAGAAAACCAACAAAAAACAAAGAAACGGACCTCACAAGAAGAATTGGAAACAAGCAACTCATCCACACCTAAATCCAGACGACGAAACCGGTTATGTTAACCCGGATTCGCAAACCCTTCCCATTACTAGGGGGCGCTCCCTCCAGTTGATTAGCCCGCTCAATACAAGTGCTCTCTAACATAGAGCCCCGGACAAGGCATCCCTTTCCTCTTGGTTTCCCAACCCCATCCACCAGTAACCAGTCCCTGTCCAACTTCCATCTCTGCAATTGCCCCCCAACTCCCTCGCCTCGAAGTTGTTGGTCTGCAGGGGTCGCTTCGTCCACGCGAAGCCCTGGCCTTAAGCGGAAACTTGCTGCACCCAGTGGAGGAGGGGGAATACCAAAAACGCAAAAGCCGTGCAGCCACGTCTTTTTTTGCAAGCCGAAAGGAGGCACAAGACTGGAAGGCGAACCGCAATGAAACTGCTGCGCGTGCAATTTGGCTGCACCCTCCGTTGAATCGCTCATACGAGGATGCCACAAAAAAGCGTTGGATTGATTTGAGGTGGTCCCATATGTCAGAGCACGCCCTCGGTCGGTCACAGTTCACTGAGAAAAAGTAGCAGCAACCGGCCAAATGTGTGCTCTCGACTCTCAACAACAGCGATATACAGTGCATGTTTCGGTGTGTCAAAACGAGGGACCTCTGTTTGGGCCAGTATAGCTGAAAAACGGCATGAAACTGACCAGCTGGATGCGGTGCCTTGTATTGACACGTGCCTATCTCACATGGCTGGAACTTCCCGAACAGCGGGAATCCGTGTTAAACAAACCAAATGACCATGGCTCACAACAAATGGAAGAAAGCACGAGGAACACTCCGAGCCCCCAAGATTGACTTCGCGGTCTTCGATGCCAAGAGTCTGTGCGCAGGGTGCCGCGACAAACACTCCTCTCCACTTCCATGAAGAAAAACGCCCACATCCAGAGCAACCCAAACATTTTCAAAGTTCCTGCACAAGCTCACTGGATCCGCATCATTTGCACCGAAAACGTGCATGCACGGGTCAAGAAGGTTTCCGGTTTTTGCCCACCTTCCGAGTCACAAACCACTGGCGTCCCGGAGAACACCCCGGCCCTGGCATCCGAATCCATCCGCTCATCCGGGCACCCGCGCGTTCCAAGACCCCGGGGTGCAGCAACAGCCGCTGCCTCGCCGCGCTCGCGCCGCTCGCGCCGTCCCCTCCTGAAGACCCGCCTTGAGCGGGGGGGGGGGTGCGCCGAAAACAACTCCGAAGCGCAGCTTCACCGATCTCCCAACTTCATCCAGAGGTCCCCGTTTTCGAAAACACCTGCAACACTAGGGGTTGCTTCCAACCATTCTTTTCAACCATCCTTCTTTTCATCTCCCCCCTGTCTGCGACTTGTTTTAGCCCCGGCGCCTCTCGAAGATGCTCGCGCCACTCAGCATCCAGTCACCCAGCAGGCTGCTGTATTCTAACCTCGCGCAAAGCAAACACCTCCATCGGCTCCAAGGAAATGTGAAGAAACCACGGAAGCCACATAACTCTCTGGGATGTTTAGCGTCTATGACCCCAGGCTGCTCGAGATGCTTCCAAACAAACTAGAGGACGATTGGCCCGAAAGCATTTTTCCACAGGTGCTCATCCAGCTGTGGGGACACCTTTTTACATCGCTGCGGCGAGCGTGTCTGCGCGCGGCGATGCTCAGTGTGTATAGTCACATGAGAGCTCCATCTCATCATCCTACTTTCCTCTTGAACTGTGCCGCGCGATTTCTCACGAAAGTGGTCTGCGCAAGCTGCATTGTTCCAGGCTGCTGCGCGCAAGTTGCTCTCTGCAAGCTGCTGCGCGCAAGTGCTCTGTGCAAGTTGCTCTGTGCAAGTGCTCTGAGCAAGTTGCTCTGCGCAAGTGCTCTGCGCCAGTTGCTCCGCGCAAGCGCTTTGCGCATGTGCTCTGCGCAAGTTGGTCTGTGCAAGTTGCTCTGCGCCTGCTCTGTGCAAGTTGCTCTGCGCAAGTGCTCTGAGCAAGTTGCTCTGCGCAAGGGCTCTGCGCCAGTTGCTCCGTGCAAGCGCTTTGCGCATGTGCTCTGTGCAAGTTGGTCTGTGCAAGTTGCTCTGCGCAAGTGCTTTGTGCAATTGCTCTGTGCAAGTTGCTCTGCGCAAGTTGCTCTGCGCAAGTGACTCTGCGCAAGTTGCTCTGCGCAAGTGCTGCCGGAGCTGCGGGGGTGTGCTCCGCGTACTACGTTTGTACTTAAAAGTTGCGATTCTCCAGCCGGAGCTGCGGGGGTGTGCTCCGCGTACTACGTTTGTACTTAAAAGTTGCGATTTTCCAGCCTGAGCTGCGGGAGCACGCTCCGCATACTACGTCTGTACTTAAAAATTGCCCGGAGCTGCAGGAGCACGCTCCGCGTACTACGTTTGTACTTAAAAGTTGCGATTTTCAAGCCGGAGCTGCGGGTGTGCTCCGCGTACTACGTTTGCACTTAAAAGTTGCGATTTTCCAGCCTGAGCTGCGGGAGCACGCTCCGCACACTACGTCTGTACTTAAAAGTTACGATTTTCCAGCCGGAGCTGCAGGAGCACGCTCCGCGTACTACGTTTGTACTTAAAAGCTGCGATTTTCAAGCCGGAGCTGCCGCGGACCAGGGGGGAATCGAACCCGCGACCGCGGGATTGCGAAAGCAGGCGCGCAAACCACGAGACAACTTCCAAAGGCCGTTTCGCGAGCAAGAATATTGCACGGCGCCACAGCGAGAGCGCTTCGACACGCACAATCTCCGCAGAGGGCTTGCCGAGACTAAGACAAATTCGCACGGCGCCACAGCGAGAGCGCTTCGACGCGCACGATCTCCGCAGAGGGTCGCGCGCGCACCGCAGAAATCGTAAAAAGTCCTCAGTTTTTGAACCTCGATCACGCGAATCTCCGCAGAGGGTCGCGCGCGCATGCGCGAAGAAGAAAGTCCTCAGTTTTTGAACCTCGACCACGCGAATCTCCGCAGAGGGTCGCGCGCGCATGCTAAAAATCGTAAAAAGTCCTCAGTTTTTGAACCTCGACCACGCGAATCTCCGCAGAGGGTCGCGCGCGCATCCAAACAATCGTAAAAAGTCCTCAGTTTTTGAACCTCGACCACGCGAATCTCCGCAGAGGGTCGCGCGCGCATGCTAAAAATCGTAAAAAGTCCTCAGTTTTTGAACCTCGACCACGCGAATCTCCGCAGAGGGTCGCGCGCGCATGCTAAAAATCGTAAAAAGTCCTCAGTTTTTGAACCTCGACCACGCGAATCTCCGCAGAGGGTCGCGCGCGCATGCTAAAAATCGTAAAAAGTCCTCAGTTTTTGAACCTCGACCACGCGAATCTCCGCAGAGGGTCGCGCGCGCCGCAGAAATCGTAAAAAGTCCTCAGTTTTTGAACCTCGACCACGCGACCACGCGAATCTCCGCAGAGGGTCGCGCGCGGCATGGAAATCGTAAAAAGTCCTCAGTTTTTGAACCTCGACCACGCGAATCTCCGCAGAGGGTAGCAGAAATCGTAAAAAGTCCTCAGTTTTTGAACCTCGACCACGCGAATCTCCGCAGAGGGTCGCGCGCGGCCAGCAGAAATCGTAAAAAGCTCAGTTTTTGAACCTCGACCACGCCTCAGAGGGTCGCGCGCGCACCGCAAAAAGTCCTCAGTTTTTGAACCTCGACCACGCGAATCTCCGCAGAGGGTCGCAATCCCGAGCGACGATCAAACTCCCGCCCCGGCGCCTTAGAAACCTAAACTAACTTACATAGCTGCTAACGCCGAAGCTCTAAGCTCTACCTAACCTCCTTGGCTCTATGTAACTTGGCTCTATGTAACTTGGCTCTATGTAACTTGGCTCTATGTAACTTGGCTCTATGTAACTTGGCTCTATGTAACTTGGCTCTATGTAACTTGGCTCTATGTAACTTGGTAACTTGGCTCTATGTAACTTGGCTCTATGTAACTTGGCTCTATGTAACTTGGCTCTATGTAACTTGGCTCTATGTAACTTGGCTCTATGTAACTTGGCTCTATGTAACTTGGCTCTATGTAACTTGGCTCTAAATTGGCTCTATGTAACTTGGCTCTATGTAACTTGGCTCTATGTAACTTGGCTCTATGTAACTTGGCTCTATGTAACTTGGCTCTATGTAACTTGGCTCTATGTAACTTGTCCAAGGGCTCCGCACGGAAGAACCCTTCGCGATGCTTTCGGGAAAAAAGGCCACTCACCTCCTGGAGATCCCCTACTCGTAGTGTTTCCGAACAGGACCCCCAAACAGGGCCACAGGCGGACGAATTCGCGGCGACTTGGCAACATCGCTGCGGCGTTTTCTGTTGGTTTGGGCAGCATGATTGGTTAACTTTCCCGCAAAGGGGAACCCCATCACAATCTCGGTTTCGCATTTTTATCGGAAAGGTGAGTAATTAGCCTCGGAGTGCCTCAAACACGTCCTCTATAGAAAAACCATGGAGTCCGTTGAAAAAAAACACTGAAAGTTATGCCATGTGTCGTCGCAAGGGATCCTTTGGGGGTTTGAAAGTGAAGCAATACATGAAGAGAAAGAATGTGGCTTGCAAGCGTCTGGTCAAACCCCCGCTGAGCGCCCCGCGGGATGGAGAAGGAATGGTGCGGCAGAGCCACCTAACAAACAAGACCATCTTTGACGCCCTTCCGGTTTTCCAACAGAAATCCGAAGAAACCCAGACACTCGTTGACCCCTTTTCGGGTTGAGCAACCCAGGTAGCGACAACATTTTGCCGGGAGTTCCGCACACGTACCTTTGACCCCTGGAAGTGCAAGGGACTGGAAGTCTCAATGCCCCACCTCGCTTAGGCCTTGAAAATGGGTGGCTCGCCGTTTTTTGAGGGGCACCCGGGTTTTGGGTGGTTTTTGGGGGCTCCCCCAAAAAATGGACTTTGAAAACCCAAATGTCTTGACTCCCGTGTAATTCCCCTGTATGTAGCGGCAACTGCCAACATGATCCAGTCTCGTGACGGTGCGGCCCTCATCGAATCTCCAGCAGGAAAGGCAGCTACATCTTTCCCTTCAACCGATCAGCTGGAGCATCACCAAGATTTATACCCACCCTTCAAAAGGGCTTTTTTACCAACCCTTCAAGAGGGTTTCACACCTTTGGTTTGTAGACAAAAAAGGGAGTCCACTGGTAACCTCCGCACCCCGGTGGTCCACCCGTCCACCCCCTGCCTGCTGGTACTCCTTGTGTGCGTGCTTCCCGGCCGCACGAATGCATCGCGGCAAAGCGAGGCAAATCCACCTCGTAGGGCGAGCCGCAGGCAGTTTGAAGCTTTCGATTGCATACGGAAAGCGCACATCATCCAGGATGTGCTATGTACATCAGCAAGGCTTTTGAGGTCATGTGTCCAAGTACACACCCCTTTGGAAGCAACCGCTAGCAGGGTTTCCGGGGTGTTTAGTTGGTTGCAAACTTTAGCGCCTGGCTAAGGGCTGTGCCCCAAACCCATCCCCCAAAGGGATCTTTTGATCGCCTTCAGGCGGCCTTCTTCTTTACCAACCAAATTGAACAAGCTGACCATTTCGCTCGAAAGGCTTGGAGGGACCCACAAAGGTCGCTGGCGGCGGCCAACCGCAAAGGGGGGCGAATTCTGAAAGATCCTTCCTGGGCCGATACCAGCGATATATCAACTAGGTGGCTTGGCTCCTTTCGAAACTGCTACCCAAGAAGAAAAAAAAACATACGGACGTGTCCTCAAAACTGGAGAACCCCAGAACATACGGGGCTGTCTTTTAGGCCGAAAAAGGCCCTTAAAACCAACAAAAACGGCCTCTCCCGTGCGAGACACCCGTGAAGAGCTGGGCGCGCGGCGCCAGCGCCAGCGCGGATCTCCGAGCCATGGCGGCGCATCCAGGCCGTGTGTCTGAGATCTGCTGGATGCTGTCGGACAAGAAGCAAAGCCTTGAGTGTTAAAAAGAAGAAATAAACAAAAATACAAGACCGGTTTATGGTTAAAGCAGAAAAGAATGTCTGTAAAAAAAGAAGAAGAAGACGAATTAAACCTCAAATGCAATTCAGAGCTTGCCATCTTTCCGCAAGCCTGTGGCCCCTTGGCTAGGTTGGTAGGGGCGTGCCGCGTGCCAATGGCAGACTTTCTCTCACGCCGCGTGTCAACGGCGCGCCTCCCGGGCTGTCAAACTTGAACCGAGTTGCATCAACTGGAAATTACCTTCATCGAGATGTGGAGGTTGGTCAAAAGGTCCGTGATACATAGCATGATCATCGTTTGGAAAACCACTAAGAAAGAAGACATATCCATGGGAAAAGTCATCCATTGTCAAAACTGGGGGCCCTAAATATGGAATATTGACCAGCCCCCATGTTGCAAGGGGACCACGCGTTGGAACATGTGAATGGATACGTGCTGGACGTCGTCGTTTCGACTGAGTGCCGTTGGCATTGGAAGTCCGAAACAAAGAGACTTGGAACTGACTTTCAACGGAGCAAAGAACAAACTCAACCGATTAAACATATATACATACATATGAATATATATATATATATATATATACTACACATATAAATACATGTATAGATATATAGCTCTGAGGGGTTGCCATACAAATGCGTATCCATATATATATATATATGCTACCCCCCCCCCCCCAGGTACCCAGGTTTGGGCTTGGTTCAGATGTGCTTTGACCGCGGAAGCAGGCAGGAAGAACAGCTCAGATTTGCACACTGGGAGACCAGAGGAAGGAGGTTTGCCTCATTGAAGAAAGACGCCTTGGACGTGACCCATGCCCTTTTTCAATGGCTCTTCCACACAAAAATAGATTCACATATTTTCCCACACAAACCATGCCTTCTTTCAAAGGCTCTTCCACAGATAACTCACATATCTTCCCACACAAACCATGCCTTGTTTCAAAGACTCTTCCACAGAATATTCACACATCCTCTCACCCAACAAATGTCTTTTTACATGTCTTCTTTCAATGAAACAAAGGCAGCGTATGTGAAAGAGTTGCCAAGGAAAGTGAGCCCTGTGTAGAATAAAGCCAGGCTATGGCTGGGACAGTTTGTGTTACATAAATGGCGGTTTTACATGATATTTACTGTCTTTTGCTGTACTTTTATGAATCACTGTAACCCTGACTCTTCCACAAAGACTCACATATCATCTCTCACACAAAACATGTCTTTTCAATAACTCTTCTCTACAGACAATTCTTTCATCCTCTCACCCAGAACATGTCTTCTTTCACAAAGGTTCACATATCCTCTCACCAAAACATGCCTTTTTTCAAAGGCTCTTCCACAGAAAACCCACATATCTTCCCACACAAACCATGCCTTCTCTTCCACAGCATATTCACATATCATCTCACACAAAGCATGTCTTTTCAATAACACTTCTCTACAGACAATTCTTTCATCCTCTCACCCAAAACATGTCTTTTTGCATGCCTTTTTCACAAGGAATCACATATCCTCTCACCAAAGCCATGCCCTTTTTCAATGGCTCTTCCACACAAAATTCAATTCACATATTTTCCCACACAAACCATGCCTTCTTTCAAAGGCTCTTCCACAGATAATTCACATATCTTCCCACACAAACCATGCCTTGTTTCAAAGACTCGTCCACAGAATATTCACACATCCTCTCACCCAATCTTTTTACATGTCTTCTTTCAATGAAGCAAAGTCAGCATATGTGAAAGAGTTGCCAAGGCAAGTGAACCCTCTGTAGAATAAAGCCAGGCTATGGCTGGGACAGTTTGTGTTACATAAATGGTGGTTTTACATGATATTTACTGTCTTTTGCTGTACTTTTATGAATCACTGTAACCCTGACTCTTCCACAAAGACTCACATATCATCTCTCACACAAAACATGTCTTTTCAATAACTCTTCTCTACAGACAATTCTTTCATCCTCTCACCCAGAACATGTCTTCTTTCACAAAGGTTCACATATCCTCTCACCAACATATGCCTTTTTTCAAAGGCTCTTCCACAGAAAACTCACATATCTTCCCACACAAACCATGCCTTCTTTCAAAGACTCTTCCACAGCATATTCACATATCATCTCACACAAAAGTGTTCAAAACATGTCTTTTTCAATAACTCTTCTCTACAGAAAATTCACATATCCTCTCAGCCAGAACATGCCTTCTTTCACAAAGGTTCACATATCCTCTCATCATGCTCCGCAAATGTTGCGCAACATTTGGAATTTGTTGCGCAACATTTCCAAAAAACCAAAAAACCAAAAAACCAAAAAACCAAAGAATCCCAGCCATGGTGGGGGCTAGGATTGGTTTTTTGGTTCTTTGGTTTTTTGGTTTTTTGGTTTTTTGGTTTTTTGGTTTTTTGGTTTTTTGGTTTTTTGGTTTTTGGCTTTTTTGTTTTTTTGGTCCACAAAATGGCCTTGCAGAAAATGCTGGAGTTCAATCAAAATACACTGTAAATATCAATGGTTTTGATACATGATGCAACAACACCTGGGTACTGGGGGGGGGGTACCATATATATATACATATACACATGTGTCTGTGTGTGTGTGTGTTCCCCTCAGCCAGCCCTCAACCAACCCGTAGCCAACCCTACACCAACACTTAAGCAACCCCACCCAGAACCACTCCACGAGGGGGACCATGACCATGGGGGGAGGGGGACCTAAAACGTGGAACATGTGTCTATGTATATGTTATGTTGTGTTGCACTGTGCGTTATGTTGTGCGGTGATGCGCTGTTGTGTGTTGTGGTGTGCTCCGTTACGGCATCCTGTGGTGTGTTGCTTATGTGGTGTTGTGGTGTGGCATGTTGTGTCATGTCATGCTGTGTTATGTGATGCTATGATATGCATGTTTATATGTCGTATGTATGTTTGTGTGTGTGTGTGCGTACATGTGTGAATATCTTGAATTTGTCTGCGCCTATCTCAAACTAAGGGCCCCCTCTTTCCAACATCCGCACAGAGAAGGCCACATACGGAGGGCGCGAGCGCAAGAGCCGCGAATCGCACGCTTTGCGTCTCGCCATTGGCCAATCTCGCCGAAGTCGGAAGGCCTTTCCCAAGATGGGATTTCAGAACATGCTTCGCTTTTGGTTGGGGGAGCTTTGTGGGGATTCCCACATAAGACAAACTCGTACATGCATATCTACCCACAGCAGCTTACCCACACACACACACACACACACGACCAGAAAGGAATGGCCCCCTGACACCGCTTTGTCGCTGGCAACTTTGGCCGCATCCCGATGCTCGCCAGGTATCGTTGACCCGGCGCTCGCCTTCCCGAGCGGTGCTAAGACAGGAACAAGGAAACATCACGCCCCTGTTCTCTGAAACAGCTGGTCATTCCCATTTCAATTACCAGCTAGAACCGGAAAGTCGTCCGCAAAGGGAGGTGGTTGGTCCACCCCCCCCCCCCAACCACCTCCGGATCAGGGTGGTCCTTTTGCGGAATCTGGACAAAGTGTGAACCTGGAAAAGGAATAGGTCTCTTGCATTGGGATTACCATTGGGGAAGAAATTGGCAAAGTTCCCCATGGTCAGGCTAGGAACATTCTTCAAGCCACATTGGTCTGGTGTTTATTTTTTCCCGTGTACCCTTTTGGGTTTGGTTTAAAGGGGAATAAAAGGGACACTCACCATTTCGGTGAACCATTTCGGGGAGTCCCCTAAAGAAGACACACCCGAATCTTCATCCAATGTCTTAAAAGGACAACCCTGCAAGGATCGCAGCAAGCCCTTACCTCGTCAGGATCTGATGCTTGGAGGCATTGCGGAAGATCTCGGCGCAGGCGCTCCAAGGAACAAGGCTTTGCCGGAAATGGTTTCACTCCCTAAGAAAAAACAGAACGGGAAGACAAAAAGAAGAAAAGTCCGCCCCCCTCCCCACCAAAAAACAAGAAAAACTCCGTGCTCTTCCGAAGACGGTCGGACATGTCCCAGGTTCTTGTGTTGGTGGGCGTCCAACCTCAGCCTCGGGCAGTGTCTAAGGACACTCGGATGCTCCCGGAGGTCTTGGTGGCCATCTTGGCCCGCGCCTCGCACTGCCCAGCGAGGCGCATGTTGCTGCTCTATGAGATGTTCCTTGAACACCAAAAGGGTACACTCAACACGAAACAAAGAAAAATTGGCGCGTGACCCATTTTTGTTGCTTGCTGGATGTCCCTAGTCCACAACAAACTGTGTGTGTGTGTGTATGCATGGATGTGTGTGTGTGTGTGTGTGGGTCTATGTGCGTATGCATGCATGCATGTACTTGTGTGTCTTTATGTATGTATGTATGTATGCATGCATGCATGCATGTATGTATGTATGTATGTATGTATGTATGTATGTATGTATGTATGTATGTATGTATGTATGTATGTATGTGTGTTTGCTTTGCAAGTACGTACATGTGTATGTATGCATGCATGTATGTGTGTGTGTTCGCGTATGTGTGTAGGTGGGCATGTCAGTATGTATGTGCGTATGTATGTATGCTGTGTATGCGTGTATGTGCGCACGTGTGTATGTGCGTATGCACGTACTCGTGTGTGCGTGGCTGTGTGTGCGCGGGTAAGTATGTGCGTATGTGCGCAGGCGTAGCTGTAGGCTGTATGTACGTGTTTCTATGTGCTTATCTATGCATGTAACGCTGCGAGGCTTCTAAGTGGTAGCTGCAGGAGTCTCTCTGCAAGTTGTTTTTCCTGCAAGATCTCCGCTGAAGTTTCTCTGCTGTGCTCAAGTGCAAGCTTCTCTACCAAGCTGTCTGTGCAAGTTTCTCTTAGCAAGTTTCTTCGTGCGAGTTATCGATGCAAGTTTCTCTGGGCGAGCGTTCAGTGCATGTTTCTCTGCGCAAGCGCTCCGTGCAAGTTTCGCGCAAGCTCTCTGCACAACTATCTCTCTGCAAGTTGCTCTGTGCAAGTTTTTGCGTGGATCGTTCTCAATGAAGGAGGTCGTTCTCAACGCAAGCACCGCGAAAAGTCGCACGTCGATCACGCCGATCCGCCCAGACGGTCACGCAAAACAAAAATCGCAGAGCGCTCCAGATTTTGTCGATCCCCGCCGAGGGTCAAATTCGATGCCGCGCACATGCCGTCGTGCGACTTGGTATGTATGCAACTTTATATAGATATATATATATATATACATACATAATGACACAAAAAAACAGTAATAAGAAACAATAAATAGTATCTATATGGTTCTTTATATTCCCCAAACCTAAAGTGCAACACCGCCCCCCCCCCCCCAGCCTCGGTCTTGGCATCCAGCACCTCCGCCCGTGAGGCGCTGAGCGCCCCCGGGTCGCTGCCCAGGACGCCGGTCACGGCCCGCGCCTCACGCGGTCAGCTTGCCGCTGTCATGCGGGTCTCGGATGAACATCAACCCCGGTTTATTCATATGGGGGTGTTCCCCTCCACAACAACAACTACAACAAACAACAAACAAACAAGAAGAAAAAACGGGGGTCGGACATTAATATGGGGGGTGAACCATTTTATTAATATGGGGGTCTTTATTAATATGGGGGTCACCATATTAGTCAACCCGTCATGTTTCTTAATATGGGGGGGCGGCCCTCCAGACGTGACGAATCCCCACGAAAACCAGGGACAACGGAACCCAGATTAATAAACAGGAGTTGATGAATCCGGGGTCAACATTATGATTTAAACATGGTGTCCCGTTTCCAATGCCCTCAAAAAATGTACGCATATATCAGCTTCCATCTAATTAGTGGTTTGCAAACCACCACTCCAAACGTCAATTAGAGACCCAGAAGATGGCAACTCTGTCCTTTTGCTTTCTCCGAGAAAAAAGAAGGCACCCACATGTGAAAATGAAACGTCTCAAAGCAAGAGCCTCTTTTTAGGAAGCTTTTGCTTGGTGAAACGAAACGAAACACTGCACCTGAAAGAATTAGTTCCTAAATCACGACCATGTGTCAAAATTGGGGAGTCCCCCAAAATGGCAGCGGCTCCTTTAACTACCAAATGGGTCCACCATCTTGAGAAACCCGCAGGTTCCTACTGGACATTTGACCCAACCTCACAGTCACACAGTCTATCTTGCCTGGCCTTTAGGGCACTGTCTTTTGGGGTGTTCCCTCCCCCCTCCTTTTTTTCCCCTTCAAGGCGGGTCAGGGGAAACCAAGGGGCAATGACTCATGAAGAGATACTCGGCCCTCGCTTGAGGAGCATTTGCAGGGGAAACCCTTTGAGGCGGGAAAGACGCACCCCTTCGAGGGAAGGGCTGAATAGTTTGAGCCTTGATCAGATCCCTTAAATGGTGCGGTTGTCCATAACAGATCATGCCCGGACTGTCAATCCATGGACACTTGTAGCAATAAAATATTCTTGCTACAAGCCTTCTTCATATACAATCACTCAAAGCCCAAAAAGAGCAAACGAACCCTCCACTAGGGCGCTGCTCATGTCCAAACAAGGAGGGAACAACCGTCTGTGTTTGTCGGGGTTGCGCCCAAGGTGTGCCAGGGCCCATCCCAACTAGCTGATGTCCTCCAAAGGGCTTCCTGAGCGGTTCATGGGGCTCAGCCGGGTTCGGGGTTCGGGGGGCCAGACTTCCTCCCAGGCTAGGGGCCGGTCTCTGATTTCAGCCGAAGCCATACAGAACTCAGAACCCCTTGCTTGTTGGTCTACGCCAAACAAATGTTCAGGATACATTTGCGGCTAAGGTCGTTTGCTTCACTGGTATTAGGTGTGAAGCAATGGGGGGTCAATTGAAAATGAGGTGTTGTCTGTGGATATTTGGGACACGTCTTCTTTGCAGCCCCGCCAAAAATGAACAGAGCCGCAACAGCAAAAGCAAAGAACACTAAACACAGTTTAAGGTCAAGCACTTATCTGCGAAAAATCACAATACATAATGCCCAAACTGGAAATAAGGTATCGTGGGCCGAGATTAGTCTTGATTGAGAACCCTCAAGCGGGCCCAGTTGCAGGGTTCCACTTTTTGACTACCCCAAGGTAGGCTTGAACACGGGTCGATTTCCCCAAACAAGACAACCCCGAAGGACCCCTGTATCTGACAAGAACAGAAAAACTGTGTGGTGGGGGAACCCCCTTCCAAAAAACCGCCGTTTGGGCACCCCTTTAAACCATCAGCCCAAAACCAAACCTGTGGCGGGGGTTGGGATTTCCCTTCCAAAAATCCGCCGTTTTGCCCCCTCCCCCCCCTTTCAACCATAAGCTGGACCCTCCCCCGGCCCTTCGACACCTCGGCCCTCGACCCCACCGCCTCCTCCATCACGGACCGCGCCAGCGGCCGCCAGGTGCGGCAGGTGAGCTCCGCGTGGCCCGGCGCGCTGGGCAAACAAACCGAGCCGTAGCACAGGGTCCTTGGCACGGGGACGGACGGACGGAAGACGCGGCGGCCGGTGGCGGAATCGACGGGTTAGTGCGTCCTAGGTCCGGGTTTTTATATATATATATATATATAAAAGAAGCCCCAAAAAATGGGCAACAAAAGGACGGTTTTACCTTTGGTGACTTCTGTGTTCTGTCAGAAATGCGAGGGCTCGATTTTTTTCAGGTGTGTGTGTGTGTGTGTCAAAATCGGTGTGCCTTTCTAAGGTCGAAGGCCCCAACAAAACTCGCGGCCTGTTGGCGTCCCTTGAAAATCACCGAAAGAGGGGTACCCTCAAAGAAAGACGCAGAATGTTGACGCTTGAACCATGCCGGCCGAGCCCATCGGATTTCTCGCTTCAAAACAGGCAAGCGCCTGTCTCATTCCCAAACCAAAATCCCAGCGCATGGTCTTGTCTGGAGGCAGGCTGTCCACCAGTGAGGCAGGATACAAAAGGAGTCACCAAGCGCCAAGACCACATGGCACGCGGCGTCGCCGGGGGAGGCGCAAACCATGCTGGCCCAATTTTGGTGTTCAAAAGGGAAATGAACGAAACACTACCCTCCCTCTTTCACATGGAACCAAGGTCCTGTTCCTCTTGAAGGGACCCAGGTCAGGTGCCCTGCAAGTGCGAGGGAACCCAATTTTCAGCTTTGTGTGTGTGTATCCAAATCGGGGACCTCAAAAATGATGATCTTCCTTGTTCCTTCTATTTTTACCGAGGGACAAAGGGTACCCGCTTCAAAACTCACACCCAGGGCACACATTTCTCCCCTTCCGCTTTCGCAGGCGCGGCGCTCGATCCGGCCGGCGGCGTCCAATTTGAAGACCTGCAGGTGGAGGTGCGGCCACCCGGCCACCGAGTCTGCGATGAAGTGGAAGTCCACGGGGTGGTTGAAGACGTACCTCGCGGCCCTCGTGCCTAACCAACCTCTGGCCCTTGGAGGCTCCTTGGGTGGTACTTGGCTCTTTGGAGGGGGTAGTAGGGTCCCCGATGCAAAGCAAGGCCACCAAAACCCGGCGCTTGTTCAGTTCTCCCGACAGAGGGTCACTTTTGAGGATGTGTGGCACCCCAAGTTGAGCGAAAATTAGATCACACACAACCCAAGCCTTCAGGAAAAAGATCAAAAATTACAAGGGCTTCTTTCCAGGGAAGACTTGCAAGAGCTGTTGAATCGAGGTTTAAGGACAGTGCCACGGTCCCCTTCTCCACAAGTCGGCCGCATGCGGTTGCCCAACATGAACGGGCAGAATGGCGTGATGAAACGACTGCCCTTCCAATTAAACAACAAAACCTCCATGAGAGGCAACAAGGACCTCCGGCGAAACATCTCTGCCCCCAGATGCTTACATGGTCTGCGCTGCCCTCGTCTGACGTCTTCTGATGCTCTTCCTCCCCAGTTTACTGAAGGGTTTTTTAATAGGGACTCTGTTCTTAGGATACACCCTTTGATGTATTACCGGGGGGCTCTTTCAAGATTACCAGGATTGCAGACCTTTCACCATAAAGCCAATATGAGCACTGGAAAGAAGGCGGCTGCGAGAAAATTGCCTCTATATGTCCACCACCCTCTCACTGGGTCAGTCAAACATGAGATTCTCAACATGCCTGCTCAACTGCCCGTCCCTCCACATCATGATGGGCAGTGGGGTGGCGGAAATCAAAAATCCACCCCAAAGCAACTTTGAGACCACCAAAGAACATTCACAGGAATGAACCCACCCCCCCCCCTCCCACCCATCCCCCCCCCTCCCACCCTCCCACCCATCCCCAGTTCACCCCTTCGTCGCCACGCCACACCCCGCCGGCGTCCGCATAGCACGTCTGCGTCTGCCCCACGAAGCCCTCCTTCCGCGCGATGGGCAGCCAGTCCGCGCCCGCCTCCGCCGCAAAGTCCACGAAGAGGCCCTCCTCGGACACTCCTGCGCCCAAGCTTCGGCTCGAAGACCCGTGGTCAAAACCCAGGAAATTGTCTGGTGAACATCCAAGCGGGTACATCAGTGATCCGCAAAATGGAGAAAGGCATAGGTCACCCATGGCCATGTAGGTGTGCCTGCCAAACTAGCTTCGGCTTTTGCTTTTGGCTTCCCGTTGCCCACACAACCTTGGAAGCGGAGAGGCCCAACCACCCCCTCCCACGGTACCCTTAAACAAACTAAGAATGGTTGATCAAAATGCGGCGCTCACCTGTGGCTTCTTTGATCTCAGGGTGTCAGCCAGAGTTGCAAAAATATTATGTATATATATATATGTATAAATATATATACATACATACATATAAATGCATGGTGCGACTGAGGGCCTTAGCACAAAGCAGAAGGACCGGAGCGGAATGCAGGGCCATTTCTGCCTTTCCGTGAATTCTGACTGTTTTTTGCTGCGCGTGCCAAGGGCGAATTTTCACTGATTATCATGTTTGACAACTTCTCAAACATGCAAGCGTCAAGGTATGCTTTCAAAAAATGGTAGTGTCCGGCTACTTTGAGTGGTCGACCCCCGCATTTTAGACATTCAGTACAGACTGGAATCTTCAAAATCCCCCTTTTCCACTTCCATGTTTGTTTAACCGAAATAGTCAAAGAATGGAAGGGAACCCCATCTGACCCAGGTGATTCCTCGGTTTCGCAAAAATCCGCCGGGCTTCGGAGTTTTGCCCCGAAACAGCCCGCCCGGCTCGCCTGGGAAGTCGAAGCCGAACCTCGGAGACTGGGCCGTGGACGCGGGCTTGGAGCTCGGAGAGTGGCGAACCGATTAGGGCAGATTCTTTGGGGCTTCCTTTCTTGAGGGCAACCCTTTTTTGCGGTTTTCACAAGGAAAACCCAAAAAAACCACAAGAAGGAGGTCTCCTAAAAACAGACACACCCATTTGACAAGCTGACACCGAAGAAAGCCCTATGCTTCTCTCTTCACCTGCTCTCGGCTGAATTTGGATGCAGCTGCTCGGCCAGGGTTCGGGCCGTTTCTGAGCGCCAGACGTAAGTCCATATCGGGCCAGTTGCGCACCCCTCCGGACTCTTGCAATTCCAACATAGCCATAGCTCCAAACACACTCCACCAAAAGTGACTGTATACATCTGCCAGTTGGGAATAAAACCATGGTCAAAGTCGCCCAAGAGGTGAAACTCCCAATTTGGAAGCTCACCAAGTCACCAACTCAAGCCGACGACCCAAAACAAGCCGCACTTTCTCGGTTGCTTTCTGCTCCCCTGCTAAAAGTTCTTAACTTTTCAGTGCCTAATACGGAAAACCCATTGGTTGGCAAAAAGTTATTCAGTCCTAACATCCCTTGGCAAAATGCAACAAAGAGACCTCAGTTGACTCAAAAAGACTCACTTCTGAGCGACTGGATTGGCCAAAAAAAAAACGTCGAAACTTGTTGCCGACCACCAGGATGGTCCAAACCCCAAAAAATCCCTAAAGTCCCCCAAATTCCTCCGAAGCGCTCCAGCTCCCCGATGAAGTGCAGCTCGAACTCGCTGCCCGGCGCGCAGGGCGGCGCCGCCGAAGCGGCAGCGGAAGCCGGCTGCATGGCCATGGATGGCCGATGGATCGATCCAAGCGGTCGCCAGTGGCCAGGTGACTCGAATCATTTTGTTTACCTCAACTCTTTACATGATACATTCTTTTGGTGAGGCCTTTGTATCATCTGGGCTCAGGGGAAAATATTGGGATACATTATTTTGGTGAGGCCTTTGCAACATCTGGGCTAAGAGGAAAATCCTGGGATGACTTTGAAAAGGAAACTTAACTGAAGACACAAAGGGGGAATGGGCTGACGTCTACCAATGCAAACCCACAAATCGAATGGCTCAAAGTAGAAGAGTGGGGTTCCACTCGCGCATGACCAAAATAAGCAAACAAAACTTGTTCTTCTGGAACCCTTCCGGAACCCTAGGGGGTCAAAGCTTTCAGAAAAGGACGTTTGGAGCCCTCGGAGAGCCTCTCACAGGAAGTCTACGAGTCCGAACCCGAATTCAGGGATCGGCCCTTCTTGAAAGCGAGCTCCTTCAGCCCCTGTTCGGCGAGCTCGTCAAGCTGGGCCCGGACAAGCTAAGATTGCGAACAGCCTGATCACATTGTTGCACCCCTTTGTTTGTCCTCCAAACTAGGTTTTGTTTAACCTAAAAACTGGAGAATTTTGCGTTGGCTCCGGTTGACAAAAACAAATATCCTCCAAACATGTTCTTTGCGTGTACTCTGAATCCTCCTGCCGCACTTGAGCCTCAGGTGTGCCGTCGGGCCCGGCCACAAGGCCAAAAGAAGAACTTGGACACGTTCGACTGGACTGGAGCACAGCCTACCTCACTTCCTGAGTGGACTGGCCAAAAACAGTCCGGACCTTGTTTTGCCACTTAAATGGTCTTTCCAAAAACTTTAAGGTCCATGAACTCAGGGAGTGAGCTTCTCAAAAGGTCAGAAGCGGTCAAAAGGTCGGCCGGGAGCCGGAGCATCGCGCTTTTCGAAAACCATCGGACAGCGGAAAGCGCTTTCTCCGCCGTGCATGCCCCGAAGGGCGAAACGCCCAGACTTGGAGTGTGCTTTTTGCACACCGGGCCGGAAACACAATCCCAGCGCAGCTCGAACTTCTGAACCTCGGGGCCTCTGGGGAAACCTCCCAAGGATCTCCCCCACCACATGGACCCCTTCCCCCAAACCATGTACAGCCACTTCGCCCGCTGAGCGCCTGCCACTTGTAGCCACCCAGCCAAAACACGGATCACGCATCCGCCCAAAACACGAAGCCATGACTCAGATCCCAAGTGCTGAAAGCGAACGGGGAGAAGGGGAGCTGACTCACTTTGCGTTGCCCGGCGCCTGGCGCGAGCTGTTAGCTTGCGACTCCAAGCATGGGTTCACCCACCAAGAGCCCCCAAAAATAAAAAGTGATGCAACCGTTGATCCGGAAACCCACAGGCTAGGCAGCATTCTGTGGGTGACCGTTGATCCAGTGACTCCCACAGCCAGATGGCTCTTTCGGAGCTTTGCTTATCCAACTCGACCGTGGCTTCTGCAGCTTGATCCCAGCCCTTGTCCTAAAGCAATCCACTGACCGCTCCCAACGCAAAATGTCCCACGAGCAAACCCCCACAAAAAAAAAACAGCAACTCGCCATGTGGCCAATGACTTCAAACAATCATATGGATCAGTGAAGTGTCCGCTGCCCAGTTCCTTCTCGTACCTGAAACTGGGCCGTCCTCAGAGAGTTAACACCTTTTAGTGGGTGAAAGGGACACCTAAAGACAACCAAACAGCGAAGGAACCGGACGATTCGCTGGGAACCAAGTTCAGCCCATCGACGTGCCCGGCGGCCCAGCTGCTTCCAAGGCCCAAAGGGCCTGCGAGCTCGAGGCGCTGGCGCTCGCCGTGGTGGCGGCGGCCGCCTGGCTGGCCAACCTCAGCGCGCGTCCGCGGCGCCGGCTCGGCACCTCGGAACCTTCGCCCGGGCAGGCGACCATGGGAACCATGGGAACCATGGATGAATTCTGACCCGGGCCTTTGGAATGTAGCGATCTGGAAGCTCATTCCTTTGCTTTCGGAGCTTCTGAGCTTTCGTGAATTGAAGGTAAGCAAAGTTTGTCAAAGAAAGGTCGAGCACCAATGTGTGGGGGCATGCAACAAGCATCAAATAGACTGAAAGCCATCAGAACTTCAATCTTCCATCCAAATCCAAGCCATAATTATCGCTTCATGAGCTCTTCTAAAAGAAGTTTGGAGGAAGGATGCTTAGATCCAAAATCATTTTCTGCGAAGAGCTTTCCGATTGCATTATGACGATGCTATGTCTTGCTGTCTTTGAGGAGGGGTTCTTTGGATGAGCCCTTTTTTGGCTGCTGAGGCACCTTTCCGACAGCAGAGTCAGCAATGGGCCGCTTGCTTCTAAACAATGGTTTTCAACACTAGAGCGTATCCACGAATTGGGTACCTGACTGGTAGCAACTGTGACCTTGCGGTCTAAACCACCACAGCCATTTGGTAAGCTTCACAAACACCGTAACCTCCTTTCAGTCGAATCTTGGCCCTTGGTCTAGATCCACATGGGCCAATTCCCACACACAACTGGTGAAGATAGACTTCGGGAGCTCTGCTCTCGACACCACATCTCTTATGCCATCGCACGGAAAACCTACTTGCCATATGGAAATCGTGCGAGTGACTGTCGCACTCGAAGAATTTATGGAAATCGCCGGGATTCAAGTCAAAGGTTTGTCTTCAAGTTAAGGGTCTGGGATGCAGCTTGACTTGCGATGCAAGTCATCAATCAGACTTCTCCTTGGTGGACATTGGAAGCAAAAATGCTCAAATCTTAGCAGTTGCGTGGGGGTTTCCCACTAAACCACAAACAGCAAAAATGTAAAATGTGTCCCAACAACAACCATGTGTCGAGGATTGGAATTGTTTTGTTTCAGATTGGCTGGTGAGAGGGATTAGATTGGCCTGTGGGGAGCATTAGATTTGTTTGGTGAACAGCATGGCCCGGTGCAGGATCGGAAAGTGTGCCAACCACCTCGCTCGCGACGCATGACCGAAGAAGGCTCGGGGCGGTGAAACCAGACATCCTTTGATTTCCCTCCCTTTTTGGAAGGGTCGCAAAAATGCAAGAAGGCAAACGGCATTTCCAATGCCAAAGGACGCGCCGGCAGCGTGGGAGGCTTTCATCAGTGTCCTGAGTGCGGCCGGAGAGAGGGCTTGCGTGTGGACCTGTGGCAACATGGTGATTCCAACGCGTATTCGGCTTCAAAAACCGGGTGTCCCCTCACGTGCTACCTGCCGTAGTTGCCCGAAAAAGCAACCAAAATCAAAACGACGCGTATTGAGCATGCACTTGAACAGCACAGAATTACTTTGCTCGTCTTCCTGCAAGGCCCAAGTTGCCAAACAGGGTGTCAAAGCATGCCCCGAGATGGGCATCTGAAAGCCTGATCAAGCAGCTGAATTTCGCACAGCATGTTCCTTACTCTCCGAATATTTTTCTAAACACCCAAATGCTGCCAGTGCAAGCAACCGCAGGACCAGCATAGTGACGCATGTCTTTGTGCCACACCTGAGCCGCAACCACTGCCCTTCTGTACGCTGCCAGCATGTGCCACATACGTGGTCACCACTCCAAGCATTGGTCACAGTTTCCCTGTAAAGAACCCAAAAAGCCTCAAATAGAACATGTCCACCTCAAACAAACGAATCGAAACTATCACCCCCTAACCCCAAAGCACTTTCTAAGGCGCTCCTTTGAAGGGACGCGCATCCCATCACAATACATTTGTTTTTTTAGTTTCTTAGGTTTCATACAAGGGACTCTAGCGAGTACCAAGGTCTCCGGAGATGCAGGGTCTCCCATTTTGGCAAAACGACTCCCTGGTGATACCGGAATAGTCGTGCCCACTGGCTGGCCGCTCAGAGGGCGGCTTCCTAACCCAATGTTCCACAAACATGGACGGAAAGAAAGGATATGTTCACTCTTCAAGGCATGGTTGTGGAAAAGCACTTTGCGTGAACCTGGGATTCCCATCACGACTACTCTTCCTGACATCGGCGTAGCAAGTCGTTGTCTTTTTGAGGCTACCCTTTTGCTTGGCGGGTTTTAAACAAAACCAAAAGGAAACCCCACCTCTTTCGTTTTAAAGGAAAACCAAAAGGAAACCCCACCTCGTTCTTTTTTGGGGGGACCATAAGCATAGCCACCATATTGTGTTCCAACCAAAAACGAAAAAAGACGCGCCACCCCCGTGGGCAACTCCGCCCGGGAACGCCCCGGGAACGGCGCGCGGTGCGTCCCAAGCGGCGACATTGCATCCTGTGGCGTCAGGCCTGGGCCGAAGACGGGGAAAGGAAAGAAAGCGGTAAGGGAAAAAACGAAGGAGACGGGGAAAGAAGGAAAGCCAGAAAGCAAGAAAGCAAGATATTAAATAAGAGGAAAGAAGGAAAGAAGGAAAGAAGGAAAGAAGGAAAGAAGGAAAGAAGGAAAGAAGGAAAGAAGGAAAGAAGGAAAGAAGGAAAGAAGAAAAGAAGAAAAGAAGGAAAGAAGGAAAGAAGGAAAGAAGGAAAGACAGAAAGAAGGAAAGAAGGAAAGAAGGAAAGACAGAAAGAAGGAAAGAAGGAAAGAAGGAAAGAAGGAAAGAAGGAAAGAAGGAAAGAAGGAAAGAAGGAAAGAAGGAAAAGACGAAAAGAAAGGGGGCCAAGCATGTGTTTTTCAAGACGAGGGGCTTGGTCTTGGGAAGATGCCAACTCGAACTCCGACTTTGACCCATCAAATCCCGACCAAAGTCTCATTCTCCTCCGCTCCCCAATTTGGGCTGTTGGGATCCAAACGCCTCTCAGAGTACGTCAGGCTGATCTGTTCTGCACACAAACGCCCAATGCCCTCACTTGGGCATGAGTCTCAAAACGCAAAAGTCTGCTTCCAAATGTCTTTTGAAAAACAAGACGCAAACGGCTATGATCAAATGAGGAGAAAGCGGTTTGTCAAAGAGTCATATGAGCAACAATGAAGACATAACTTGATTCTCAACCAGATAAGTGCCTGTTTTGAGTTTCTGGCGTAACAGAAGGGGCTGGAGCGAGAGAGAGAGAGAGAGAGAG